ATTTAAATCTTGAGTAAAAACCTAAAATCAGTGAATAGTTCTTACTGGCATCAGTGAAGGCAAGATTTCATCATCTCTCTGCAAATCGTTGTGACTGTGTGCTGCTTATTACTTGTTTTCCTTCTCTGTTGGCTTCTTCGCTATCCGTTTTTGTGGGTCTAGTGTTGCAGCACCTGAAGATAGAAAGGGTTTTGAGATTCAAAGATCTTGATCTGCATGATAAAAATATTTTTTCGTGTGCAATTTAATTCAGTGTTGGCAGTTCTCATTATTCTGATTACTTTTTTCCTCTCAGTTATCAGCTTGTAGGATCACCGTATTTTATATGAAAATCTGAAGTTTTCATATGCAAAAAGCAAATTTCTAGTTCTCATGTTTCCAGAGAAAAGCTTGGAAGCATAAATTTTCAATACTCACTTCCAAGTAAATGAGTCAAATGAATAAAAGAGAAACCCCCAAACCATATCCCCCTCCCCCCCAAATCACCAAAAACTCCAAACAACAGAAAAACCCAACCAAAAACCTAATTTCTCAGGAAGTGACTAAGAATTTTTGAACTTTTGAGATTATTACTATTATTAAAAGTGAATGTCATTTCTATTTTAGCTCTTCTTTTGTGAGGTTTTATGTTGGTTTGCATTTCAAATTGCTTTCCTGGAGTCAAAGGTAGAATGTGGTCCTACGCTATGAAATGAGATTTGTTTGTATTTACTGTGTGTAAAGTTCATGTCTGGGCAGATGATTTTCACAGGTGTCTGCATTTACGTCTCTATTTCAATAAAGCCTTGCACAAGGATGAATTTCACTCTACAAGAATGTGTGCAAAATGCAATTAATGTTCTGAAGTCTGCATTTTTGTGATAGAAAGTTGATCTCATACAGGTAGGGCTAATGAAGATATGAGAGTGTTTATAGTAAAAGGTGAGAAAGTTAATTTCCAGAGTCAGGATGTGGCCAATCAAACCTGAATGGAGTCGCTTCATGTGCTGACACTGAGTGGGTCAAAAAGGACATAGAGATTTTGAAATTCTGTAGAAGGTCATTTCAGAGACTAACTTTCAGTCACCAGCAGAGGATGTAGAGGAAGCCTGATTTTTGAGGTGTGGTAATACCAGAGGTACTTTAACATCAGAGGTTTTATTAATTTCCTCTGCAGTGTGGTATAAAATTGCTGTCCTCTTTTGCTTTCCAATCCATGTTCTATGTGAGTAGCTTTCAGTGCAAATGCTGAGGTCAGTCGAGGTCACCAGCATGTGTGTGTTGTTTTATTAACCAAAAAAAAAAAAAGGAATTTCATAGGCTTGATACCTCATCAGAAGTATAGTTCTAGCCCAGTGACCAAACTTGCACAGGAGTTATCTGAACTAGTGACATTTCCTTATAGTGACTGGTAATAAAGTCAGAAAGACAAATTGTCAGGATATTAAAAATGAGTCTTCACTCTGTACATTTCTGAAAAGCAGTAGGTTATGAAAAACTTTGATTCTGCTTGTCAGTGAATATAGGATCTGTAGGTCTGAGTAGTCACAACTCCCTGGTTTTACTTTTCAGACTTCTACCCCTTCAGATTTTCATGAGCAAATGATGTTTGCTGCATAATTGCCATACTCTTTGAAGACTGTGGCTTTTTTCTTAGTAGTGCATGAAGGATCCTTTTGTCTTAATTGTCCAGTACTTACTTGACTAGATGTGTGAATAATATTTATATATTCTGAATTCTGCATATATGACATTTAAACATTATTTTCAGTGTATTTAGCTGAAGTCTTTCTTTAGACAGCTATCAGCCCATAAACCATTTCATTATACCCAAAAATATGAAATCTACATGGTGCTTAAATTCAGAGTGTATTCTGCTTTGAACAATATTCTCTTTGCCTTCAACATGTATCTCCTTGGCTTATTTCTTCAAGGTATTTTTAAAGACTTTTTTTTCCCCCAAAGTGAAGAACCTCAACAGAAATTATTTTAATGAGATAGACATTTAGTTCAACAGAAGAAGTTTCTTCATGAGGAAAATAAATTAAAAGAATAATTGTGCTTTTAAAAGATAATTAATTAAAAACTCTGTGTGGTGACAAATTTAACATCTTGTCTGACATGTTCAGAAGAAGAAAGTGCCTGGAGTTGCACAAGTAGAATAAAATGTTCCGTTTCACAGCAAGGCCAAGCCTGACTCTTGTAATTATTTCAAAGGGAGTAAAGGTCATTTTCTATTTGCTCCATCTGTATTATGTGAGGCTTCTGTACCAGTCTTACAGAAGTTAACTCATGACCTATTTAGATTGCCCAGATTTCAAAGTCCACTTACACTGTCACAAATCTGATAAAGTAGACATATTCCCTTCTCAAAGTACTAACATAGATGATGTCCAAAGCAGGCTTTTTATTTATAGCTCTGTAAGACAAGAGTTTCAAATTTAAGATGCCAGTAGCTGGGAGATCAGAACATGATTTGCCTCTTACTTGCTGTGTTAATCCTTTAGGAGAAGAGTTGTTTCTAGTTGTATTTCAGCATATATTGCTTGGGCTATTTTTCTGGTGTGGATTTGTTATATAGCTTCGCTTTAATTGTTGCTTGCATCTTGAGATCGGAGGAAGAATTTTCCTTCTGCTGTGATTGCAGTTCTATGCATATTCATTCAGTAACACCATGAGTCAGAAAGACAGGTACTTTAAAAATGCACCTGTGCACACAGAAAACGTGTGCAGAAAATGCATGTGTGTGTTTCTGTGCTTGTGACCATTTAAATGCATATCAGGTTGGTTTTTTTTTTGTTTGGTTGTTGGGTTTTTTTTTTTTTTAGAATCAGTAATCAAGTTTCATGCATAATTTTGAGGGCAGGCTCTGAATGTGTCAGTTCGTGTTTGCAGATGTCTCATACTGGAAGACTGAAGGGGACATGTCCAATTCTCAACCTCTATAGAGTCCAGAATCTCCAATAGAATCAATATATCAATGTCAATAATTGAATAAGGGATTAGGCACTGTGTTTTTAAGCCTTTGTAAGAAAAGCAGCAGTTATGTGGATATATAGAAGTGAATAGTAGTTAAGTGTATTGCACCTTGCTTGGTGTATTACTTTAAGTCTTTCTCTTCTTTCTTGGTTAATCCTTCAAAGGGACAAACCTAGAGCAGGCCAGGATGGAAGGCAAACGCATCCATCTGCTGCATTTGACTACCACCAGCTTAATTGTCATGAAATATTCTGGCTGTTTCTCACAGTCTGCTAGCACTTCTAGCCAAGATTTTATAGCAAATGTCAGTGACATGAAACAAATGATCCAGCAGTTCGTTTCAGTAGGAAGAACTAGTGCAGACCAGGTGGGGTATTGCTGCCTTTGGTTTTTATAAACGGGATCACAAAAAACTTAGTGAGTGTCAAGTGAAGGGAGAAAGCAGGTAACGTATTGCTCTGATTTAGGAAATAGACTATGAGTGGTGGTTAACAGGGAAACATGCAGATGTTAAAATTTTGCAGGACATCTCTCTAGGATCAGCACACCTAGATGATAATGTGGTGGAGGTAGAACTGAGAAATGTGTGAGACGCTGCTATTGCGTTGGGAAGAGTGAGAGTGCAGTTTGTCACCTGAAATTGTGAAGGAGAAAGGAGGCTTCAGCATTCACCTGTGTGGTATAGGGGAGAAATTGTCCTCACTGTAGAGCTGAAGAGCTTTATTTGCAAAATTGGAATCGTGTTCAGGATGTCTTGACTAAATAGACCTATTTTGTGCAGGGCCACTTGAATTTTAGAGCGAATGTCATTCAGAACCACTGTGTTTGCTTGACCATTTTCCTCTTGGTCACTACGTGCAGCCTCTCTCCTTGATTTTTCTTCAGCTGTCCAACAAGCAGCAGATTGGCTATAGTAACTTTGAGATTGGAGTACTCTGTACACCAGCTGAAAGTCAGGTTTTGAAAAACACCTTTGGAGGTTCTGAAGCAGAAAGTATTTTTGAAAATGCGGTTACACATGCATACATTGAAAAATACAGATTTGGCTTTTCCTACTCTTGAACTTGCCTCCTTTTGCTTCTCTCTTTAACCTTTTAAACTTTTTAGTAGTTTATTTTTCTTGCTGCTTCTTTCTTGGACATTCTCACACCCATGCTCTCATTTAAAAGCTGCCAAGAAAAATAGCCTTTCAGGTTGTTGTCTCTATTCAGGGATAGAACACAAACCTTCAGAGACCGAGATTAGCATCGTACCTGTTTCCAACCAATTTTATTTTGCTTTTAAGCTTCCTCCTTTGCTAAGGCGTTCCTGTGGTGACATGGAACTTTGACCACGTACTAACATTAACACAAACTGTATTCAACTTTAACCTTTAGATCCACCTCTGCTATGATGCACATATTTCATTTTCAGTCTTCCTTTGGTGTAAACAAGCTTATGGTCACAGGGAAAATGGACAAACTGTCTTGGAGAGGAGAAAAAAAAAAGGCAACATTTTAGATTTGTTAGCAAAGAAGTTCTTTTATAAAGGAAACTTCTGTGATGTGAAACTTAACCCTTGAATAAAGAATTCCTTCTGAAACTTGGTGATCAACTTTCTGAAACTAGGTTTGCAGACCCTAATTTATCAGTTATTTAAATCAACTTAAAAGTGCTTATTTTAAGCATATATTTAAGCCTAGCTGTATTCACCTGTGATTTTAGAAGCAACATTACATCCTATGTTTTCATGAAGACCAATAATATCCTTTATTGATAATCTGAACTGAACTTAACCTTGAAAGCTACTATTTTGTAAGTTCCGTGCAGGCTACGTATATAAAAGCAAAAACCTTACATAAAAAATTGTTTAGCAAGTTTTGAAGGGGAAGTGTGGTGTGATGGATATTTTGTTTTATGAGCTTGGAGCCCAATGTTTTGTTTTATGAGCACTGAGCCTAAACCCAGTATCATTCCCAGAAGCAAACATGATGGATGAATGAGTGGATGTTAAAAGTCGATTTCTTTTTTTTTTTTTTTTTTTTTTTCTTCCCCCCCCTCAGGTTCTGCTGCTTGCATGTGCAGAAGATTTAAAATGCGTCCCTGGATTCCAGCAAAAGGTTTTTTATATTGAACAGCCATTTGAATTCACAGAGGCCCAGCCAGTCCTGAACCGTATGTTATTTTCATATATTACTATTGTGCAAAATTCAGAATTGCTTATGTATTCATATCACTCCTGCCATCTATCAGAAAGTGGTTTTTTGTACATAGGATTTTGAATGTTGCCATGATTCTGTCTGGGTTCCCCTGCATTAATCCTATATCTCTACAGACTTAACTCTGTTCCATGTATTGGCGATGGCAAAGTACTATATATAATCATTTAGGACAATATGGATATTGTAATATTGTGAAAATTTAGAATCATCCACTTTTTAAAAGTAAATTTACTCTGAATTTTTTATAGTCTTTCCTATAATCTTGGACATCAGGGCTTGCCTGTCAACATTTCACTATTAATTCATCTCTGCAACTCAGATTTAGAAGCTTATATCCTAGAAGCTTCATTCAAAGCCGGTGCAAGTCCAAGTCTTTACATGAAATTCAGAGGAGACTGGGTGAAGCTTGTGATTATCAGTAACAGCAAATTGTTACTACATGTGTCATACAACTGGGATATTCAGTAATATTTCCAATGATCAGGTGTCCCATTATAAAATCCAATCTGGCACTGTATATTCAGAGCATTAAACTGAAGGAGATTTAATTGTCTGTCAGTCCTGGTGTTAGTTCATTCAAATATTTAGCGAGCAAGTGTTACAACTTGTTCATTCAGTTTTGTGGCTTTGGGACTTGGAGACTGTCAAACTAAGGTAGTACTTTATCCAATGGTCAATGATTTTGAAGACTTAAAGATACTAAGTGCTGCCATTTTCATAACTTCCAAACGCACCAGCATTTTTGCATGTGATACATATTGCTAATAGTTTTTTTGTCATGCCTGGTTGCTTGTTGTTGAGCCAGGAATTCTTCTAGGTAAGCAGCATGAGACAGTAGTGCTTGGCATCTAAACCCTACAATGTGATACATAGTGATAGTTTGGTGAAACCAAGCAATGCAAAGCAATGTTACTCATTAAATGCACACATTTCCCATCTCGGTTCCCTCCAGATATTATTACTACATAGTGATATATTTTCAATGTTATGCATGTTTGGATGAAGGTGTATTATCTGTGCACACTTGTTTTAAAATAGCACTAACTTCTCAAAATGAAATGTCAGAATTAGCTGCCAGTCTATTGAAATTACTCTCTTAAGTGTAATTCTTTCAGCCTTTAACAGATGCTAAAGCAAACCTTTAGGATAACATTTTTAGCCTAAGCATTTTGGTCAGTTACTTAGTCTGAGTTGCATTTTCAGAGGAAATTTTGGATCATAAATAGTAGTGCTATTCACAGAGATGTGAGATTATTATTCAGTTTAGAAGAGAGATTTCAAACTTCTAATTTCTTCAGGCAATTTTGTTTTCTTTTAAATTCTTATTTTAAAGAGTTGGTGAACACATCATTACTACACGGTTAAAAGTAGAAATGCATAGAATATAGGAAGTATAATAGATTTAATAAGCATGCAAAGTTGAAGACCTATGTAAAGAAAAGCCATATTAACAAGTTAGTGTTAAGTTGAATAAAAATAATCTTTATTGTATTCTTTGGCCGCTTCTGAACTTTGAGGCTGTAGCGTGTCTCGCCAGATCTCCTGCTGTCCTCCCAACCACCTAAAGGATGAGTTGGTTAAGCTGAAGTTGACTGGGCTGCTCTATGGTGACCCAGCAAATTACACTGGTGTGAAACTAGCACAAAAAGTAAGATGCCATCATTAATGTGAGGAGGAGGGAAGAGCAGGAGGAGATTTAGAAATGCCTGGAAACCATCTTCGGAATTAAATTATTTTAATAAGCAGACACTAAATTGGCCTAATATGTAATGTCTGACAAAGGCAGACTGTCGATGCATGATTCTAGTTAATTCAATCACTCATAAATAGTATGTCCTTCATGCAGCAGCATTAAACCTCTGCACAGCTTCTTCATTTTAGCTGTCGACAGAATTGATATTTTTAATTGTCTGTTTGAATACTCTTTGCATGCTCTTGCATCTTTTTATACCCATTACCCAAGAGCAGTGTAATTTAGCAGTTGCATTGCAATGTGAGGCTTACCAGGGCTATGTAAATTAATAGAGTGAATATGCAAAGCAGGCCTATAGCAGTGATTGCTTTTGTAGTCCTTAATAAGCCAAGGAGCTCCTTAATTCTTTTCTGAAGTACAATAAAACAGTCTTTTTCTTTTTTTATTTTTCAATTTAAACAAGGACCTACTGTACACTTCATTGCTAGTATCTCCCTTGTAATTAAACATAGGTTATGGCTGGTTCTTATGTATTTATTACTTCTAAATATGGCAATGTTAATTATATTTTACATTTACTGATGGAAAGATGGAAGAGAAGCCCAAACTGAGGGTACAGAATTTTATCTTATTTCTTATTCTGATTTGTACCAATTCTTATTGAAGTCCGCTTATAAGCTGGCCATAACAATTATATCAGTCCAGTTGTGTATGCATAACCGCATAACCTCCTTCCCATTAGTTTCACTGGAATTCTCTTGTTATTTCTTGGCTTTTATCTCATTGTGCTCAGGCTGAAATGCCTTTTTTTTTTTATTTATTTACCATTGCATCTCACTTTAACAGCAACTTCCAGAATTGGACCATTTTATTTTCCTAATTTTGTCATTTATTTTTCCTAGTTTTGACTTTTTTCTCATCAGACCCCTTTATCTCCTTATAACTTTTGTTTTCTATGATGACAAACAAAATCAGGCATTGCTCTCCTACTTGTGGTCTGCCCAGTTCTTCTCCCTGAGTGCAATTTTCTTAAACCAGATGTTCTCTTGATGTAGTGGGAGAGGATTCATAGAATCACTTTCTGGAAATACTAGAGGGTCTGTCCACATAATTGCTGCCTTAACAAGCAATGATGTTACTGGATTTTTCTTCCTTATAGCTTTTTTTAGTTTAGACCTAGGACCATCTTCTGCAGTCAAATAGAGACGATCATAAAGATTGCTACGTTCTTGATAAGGTGATAATTGACAGCATTTAATTACAGGTTTTACACCTTTCTGAAACATTTGTGGCCATGAAATGCTTCCTCATCAGCAAGCTTGTCTTTGGCAAGGCTGACAGGTCACTGGTAGTGACAATGCTCCGTCATGCCAGGCTGATAGAAAGTTGCTAATCAGACTCATCAAATGTGGAAATGTAATTGTGTTACATTAATCATGTTTATACTTAACATACATGGGTCTTGGCTTTTGGGGGTATTTTTAATTGACAATGAATCAAATAGTGCACTTGAAAAATTGAGGCAATTAACATAAAGGCGTTAGGTGATGTGTTGTGCATACTAAACTAGGGAATACATTGCCAGTGATTTAAATGTCAAAACAAAGGAAGTTTTGACCCTTACTTGAAAAGCTTTAATTTGAATGTTAATTAATGGCTGACCTCTTCTGTCTCTTACGTGATAGATTGCGTGTTTCAGAGCTTGGGCTGCTTCAAGATCAGAACTTTGTCTGCATTTGGGTACTTTTTTATTCTGTGGATTTTAACAAAAACTTTTCTATTCAACCATATTGAAAATCTTTGTTTACTCATATGATGGGAAATATATTAGTCTGCTTATCATTAATGCTTAAAGGCACTTCTTCTGTTGTCTAGCAAAGCTGCAGCCTCCAACATTTCCTTTGTTCAGACTGAATAATGCCTGTGGAAAGATCAGAGAAGACCATTCCTACTATTACAATATTGCGTGTGTACATGGATCACAGCTCCAATCATGCTCGCATCAAAACATTTCCTGTTGGTTCTCAGATGATGCTATGTGAGACTTGTGATTTATCACATTGACTCTTCCCACTGATTACCATGGCATTTGACTGTACCGGTGGCCTCTTTCTGTGACACTTTCGTGCTATCAATATTACTGCTGTTACTCTCATTTACTCTGATCCATACAGTGTGTACACACACTTGATTCATCTCCTCCTGCTTCATTTTTTCTGCAGCTTGTATAGAGCCAATGTGGCAGCCTAATTCAATATACTGTAATATGCCAAGCCTTCTACAGAGTTTTAATGTGAGGTTTATACGCCAGTGTTAACTCTTCATGCCTGAACACTGTGGGTTTTGGGTAATAGGAACTACAAGTGGTAGGTGTAGCTTGCAAAAGAACGTGTTCAAGTGAGGTAAGATTTTTGGCTTAGTAATCGCTCACAGGAAAAACTGTTTAGGCTTTTAGGTAATAGCTAGATAACTATGGAATTTTCACCTATTCAGGTGTACATATCTGTAGCACATCCACGTTGAAACGTAGTTGTGGCCTTTCAAAATAAAGAAGTCTTTAATGCCTTTTGAATTCTACAAACATCTTAAAATTACTTTCATTTCACATAAATCACTATGTTAAGAAATGTACTTTAGAAAATGTTGAAAAATGACTTGATTCCTGTGTTGGGCATGTGGTAGCAGGTTCTACAGAAATGTATCTATCAACTTTTCTACCCAGATAACAGAATGCATTTTATACTCTAAAATATATCTTAATGTGCACATACCCATGTATAGAACTTGAATACCAGAGTTTCAGTTCTGACACATGGATACAAGATTAAGACCAGGCTTCTGGGACTCTGTTATGCCATGTGAACAGAAATATTAGTCAGGATTTGAAGCCAGACATTAGGGATATCTTTTAATCACACTATTCCCATTTAAATTGCTGTAGGAAGCGAAACTCATGTTACCAAAATTTCAGGAAATATCTGGTGGTATGCAAAATGGTTGTAAAATTGTGGAAGTAATTTTTAAAGTGGGAGACTAGGAACTTCACAAAATGTTTGTGGAGGCGGAGTGAGGAGGATCTTCAAAGGGAAGATCCTTTTGCACTTAAATACCTAAGGCATTGATTTTTAATTGAATTTTGATGCCTAACTCTTACGCAGAGGAAGAAAGTTGTCCGCGTATGTATTGCAGATATGTATTTTGTGACTAAGTAACATAGAACATCTCAGATGTGTCTCTGAATAGATGTATGCAGATTGATG